GCAAATTCTCATTTGTAACGAAGCAGCGGAGAATTGTTTCGACTGTGAATGAAATACATCGGACGAAGGCTACTAAAGTTCGCGGTCCACATTCTCACCGTGGCATTTCGCTGAGAAATAATGGATCAGCAGATACGTTGTATTTTAAGCAAAACCCGTATTTGGGGAGATGGTAGAGAGGAGGGACGATCAGCAAGGCAGAGGCGCGATCCAGTAAGCATTCATTCGGTGAATTGAATCAAATTTCCCTTTTGTTGGAGTAAAGCAGGAATTTGGTACAATTTCTGTACGAAATCGAATAATCGAAAGATGGGGAGGGATTTGGAAAAAGGTGATGCTCATCTGAAGCTATTCTTTTCTACTACTAGCAAGCAGTCATCCGTCCTGGCCACCGTCCATCCATGCACATTCTTTCATCCTCAGCTCCTGGACATGTTGCTCCGTTCTGAACTGTACTATCACCTTGCTGCTTCCCTCCACCTTCTTGTCCTCTCTCCTTTCTTCAGCTTCCCAGTAACAAAAACTTCTGTCAAGCCGTTAACTTCTCTAAAATATTAATCTTTTTTTAAGCCGAACACTGAGGCTGTTAGAAATAAGGCCTGGCATAATGCACCTGGCATATTATCACAGACGTACAGTAATTTTGAAAATTTGCTTCATGAAGAGAGTAGCATATATGGGAAATTTTAAAAAAATGAAAGCGCTTTCTTGCCTAATTCAACAGTACATTTATCAACTCAGGCTGGAAAGCATCGGGTGGGCCTGTGCGATCACGCATTTTTGCATTAGACTTGAAGTACTCAGATCATTAACGGCATGAATGGTTGTTGCTTTACACTTACCTTTTGCGGCCACAAGCATAAATTACCGTAAATTTTGTATAAAGTAGATGTACAATTCTCATTTAACGGTCGTTCTTTAAAAGTAACCTAGCTGTTCAGTGAGAAATTTTTCCGCCAAAACTAGTGCCCGTATGTAAGAAACATGCACACGTCAACGCTGAATTTGAAATATTTAAATTGTACTTGAACAAGGAACATCACCCTAAAATTTCAGTGTTCCAGCTTTTCTGGTTATCGAGCTAGTAATTTTTCCACTAAAACTTTCATATGCCCTTACTTGAGTACCAGG